CTCGTGTTCCCCGCTCGCCTCTGCGAGGAGCGCCGACATCGAGAGGTACTGCCCTCGCGCACATGTGCATGTATGTGAACATATATATATATAGACACATATATACAAGACTGCATTGGCGCTGCGCGCCATGCACCTTGGTCCTTTGGAATCCGCACGCTAGCGGAGTGCGAGCGTGCGTACATGCGCACACGCATGCGTCTGTGAATGCATGGTACATCTGTAATTATATATATATATATACACATACGTGTGTATGTATACGTACATGTATATGCAAATGGTCAGTGTAACTATGTGTGCGCATACACGTGCGTATATCAGGCGGTAGTGGCGTGACCAGTTGCTCAGATCATCGCGCCACTCAAATGCGCGAGGGTCTCAGGCAAACGTGGTCAGACTACCACGGGACAATGCTTCGCCGAGGTCAGTGTTGCGAGGACGTCCCGGGTGAAAATGGCCGGAACACCTCCGCTCAGGGGTGGTCTGAACACCTCTGCTCAGGGCATCCTTGAACTTAGAGTTGCGAGAAGTCGCACGCGAAAGTGGCCGAACCACCATGGTGCAAGGCACCTGCGAAGTGAGACTTGCGAGAGTGTCTCAGGCGACAATGGCTGGAACACTTCAACTGAGAGTGTCTCGGGCCCCAGAGCTGCGATGATGTCTCAAGCGAAAACGGCGGGACCGATGCGAAGCAAGGCGCTTCTGAGGTCGGAGTTGCGAGCATATCTCTGGCGAAGCGGAGTAGACTACTTTCCGTCATTTCCTCTTCATTCTTCCCCTTTTCCTTTCCTTTCCTCCTCCTCCTCCTCCCCCTCCTCCTCCTCCTCCGACATCTCACAAAAACCCTGGTTCCCAACAGCGCGTCAGGATGAGATGGCGTCGTGGCCCCGACGGTTTGCATTGAGCGTTGCGAGAAGCTCAGTCGAGGCGGGAGGAGGAACATGAGGAGGATTAGGAGAAGGAGAAGGAGGAAGAGGAGGAGGATGACGAGGAGGAAGAGGATGAACAGGACAGATTATGTGGATATCTGGGGCACAGCCGAGGTGTCGCGGAAGAAATCCGCAGCAGAGGCTCGGGGGAGTGAGGAGAGCTGCTTCTGCTAGACCTTTGGCGGGGCGAAACGTGAGACACCACGGGGAATTAGGAGAAGGAGGAAGAGGAGGTAGAGGAGGAAGAGAATGAGGAAGAGGAAAAGAAGCTCTTGGGTCCTTCGGTGGTTTGAACGAAAAATGGCCTCGCTGCGCCATTTGATACGACAACGACGACGACGAAGAAGGTGACGACAAAGAGAAGGGATAATTAGAGGGGGAGGCCGCTGCGTTGGGATCTCGTGGTGCGCCTCTCGGGGCCCTCTGGGAGGCAGTTTTGAAGCCTCTCGGGCGCGTTTTGGGGTTATTCGGATCTTTGGGGGGCCCTCATGGGGCTCTCTCCGGGCCTCTTGGGGTCCTCTCGCGGCGGAAACTTTAGTTTTGAATTTTTGGGCGCCCTCTTGGGTCTCTCTTGGGGCCGTATTGGTGCTCTCTTGGGCCGTCTTGGGCGCCTCTTCGGCGGTCTCGGAGCCCTCCTGGACCGTGGTCGGGGCCTTCTCGGGGGCCTCTTGGGCAGTACTGGGGCGATCTACGGGAAGCGGGAAAAAGTGAAAAGGTCAAAAACATCGAAAAACACAGGAAAATCAACAATTGTAATCTCTCGGGGCTCTCTTGGGAGGCCTCTTGGGGGTTTCTGGGGGCGTATTGGACGCGTCTTGGGCCGTCTTGGGCCCAGATTGGGCGTCTTGGGCCGATATTTGGGCGTCTCGGGGCCCTCTTTGGCCGTCGTGGGTTTTTTTTCGTGTCGCACTCGCAGGACAGACATGGAGCACTCTGCAGGAGCGCCCCAAAGGCTCGGGGAGGCCGAAATTCTTTTTTTTTGGGGGGGGGGCACCGTGTGCCGCTTTTCCTGGGCCCCCGGCCCTGTAAAAAATATACAAATAGGAATATGTTGATGTATATATATATATAATATATAATATATATATTATATATATATATATATATACACACACATATATATATATATATATATATATATACAAGTGGCACGTGTGTGCCCAGGCTCATACAAAAAAACTGAAGGGGCGTTTGAAGCAGGCGTGAAATGCAACATCGAAGTCGCATTCGAGCGCAAGTGGGGTTGCCACACCTTGCGACGTGCTGTACCAGGACCCCCCAGGAAGCCTCAGGAGGCCCGACTTGGACACCAGAACAGGCCCCAGGAGGCCCCAGGATTGTGAGTGTTGTGCGTGTGTGTGTGTGTGTGTGTGTGTGTGTGTGTGTGTGTGTGTGTGTGTGTGTGTGTGTGTGTGTGTGTGTGTGTGTGTGTGTGTGTGTGTGTGTGTG